TGTGTGTGTGTGTGGATTTGGAGAGGGGAATGTGGGAATTCGGTTTGTTCAATTCCCGCATGCGTGAAAGGTCAAAGGTTAGGGTTAATGAATGGTTTTTGAAAATAGTTAAATTGCCTGATACGTACGCATTTAAACCGGTGGTTTACGCAAAGAATTGGATAATTTTGAGGTGCTGATCATGTGTATAACATTTGAATTTTAATCAGAACTTAAATTTATAATTTTTTAAACTCTAACTTGGCCGTGGCTGATGAAGGAGCTAGTTTACTTTTACTTTAACGAACAAAGTAAGTTTCTGTAAAAGTTTTGCAGCACTTGCAACTCAATTAGGTCATATAAAACCGAAGGTTAGAGTCTTACAAGAGAGCGACAAACACAGAAGAGAAAGAAGAGATATAAGGACAATAGCGGGTGTTTGATAGGAAAGAAGGTCGAGCAAATCACTCCAAAACACCCGCCAACCACTCACAAAACATTGTAAGACATGATATAAGTTATATAAGAAAAAAAAGCTCTCCATCAGAACTCACAAAAGTTAATTAATAACTTCCAATACAGAGGATATGTTTAGTTCTTAGTTTTAGAGAGAGTTTTGAGACACTTGCAACACAGATAGGTCATATAAGTCCCGCAGATTAGATGCGTTACTACAGAAAACGTACAAAGAGACGAACGAGTATACATAAGGACTATCAATGTTTGGTAGTAAAGATAGAGTAAACCACGCCAGAGCTCCTGCTAATTAACCATACATAGGCTAATAACAAACGAAAAAAAATACAACAATAAATCAATAATCTTTTGTAAAGAGAAGCACATCCGCCCAATAATAGTCATTAGTGCTGGGGAAATGTAGGACAGACAAACAGACAGACACAACAGGAGGAAAGGAAAGAAGTAGGACTTATCAGGGGAGCCGTCCAGCCACAATACGGTTTATTGAACTTCTGCAATGTCTGCAAGACGAAGTTGTTTCAGAGATGGTTAAACTTTGTTAAAATATAGACTTGCCCCTCTTTATTTCCTTAGGGACATCTTAAAAAAGAAGTAGGCTGTACAGGCCGGCGGTCGTATATTCTTGCGGTCGTGGTCTGAAAGGGTTAACGGGTCTCTCAGGAGGGCTGTGACGGGAGGGTTCATAAAGTTCACATTCGGAATTCGAAGTCTGAAAGATTTTATGTTTTTGGGTTGTATTCATTCGTTTTGTGGTTATGTGAAAGGGGCCCCTTGCGGGAGGCAAAGATGTTTGGGACATTAATTGTTTTGATGCTTGAGGAAACTTTCTGAATTGTGAGTATCTGATGATTGTACGAAGAGAGAGAGAGAGAGAGAGAGAGAGAGAGAG